GGGATTCACAAGCATGAGGCGGGTGTGCATTCAACGGTTGCTCAAAGCATCCCTGGTTGATGGGAATTCGGCCAGGCATATTTAATCTACCCAGTCTGGTTTGTTTTCTGATGTTTTCTGTACCTTGACTCTTAGTTGAAAAAGTATGAACATTATTTTGGGCACATTTAACCAACATTATCAAACTTAGACCCCCATATTATGTCTTATTCTGGGATCAATGGAGGTCTAGGTATGAGACAACGTGGTGGCCGCCGCCAAGTGGCAGCTTGATGAAAATTCCATGGCCGAGCAGGGATGGAACCACCAAGCGACCAATGTTTTGAAGTGACTGGATCATGCATTTTGTTTGCAAATAAATCACACGGATTTTGCAAGTATAAAGTATGTGTTGGCTGTGTTGGTTGATTTTGTTTGTCAATGATCCAGTTCAAGCCTTGTCAGATGAAACAAAGAACTGATTTGGTCCGGCAAGGGCTGCACAACGCTTTGATTGGATAACACTTTAAGGATTTGTCACCAGTGCATCTTCTTCATGGACTCACCTGTGGTGATGTGGTTTTGACTACCATTTTTTTGTAATCAAACATGGCGTGCAAAAGTAAGCCGCCATTGAGTTCGATGATTTTCCCAACAAACTAAGCCTCCAGTTATTTTTAGGGAAGTTCCCATTTCCATGTTCGATTTTTCTGGAGGGCATTTGTTTGCTCACGGTTTTGGAAAAGGTTGATTTGATGAAGCTGATTCACAGCTAAGTGCCACATCTTTGTAGAGCAGCCCTATGGTTCATACAGTTTGCCAGATTGAAATGCATAGTTTTGGATTGACATATTATATATATATATGAATAATGTACAACAATAGATAACATGAATAGATAACAGTACAGATAACAATAGATAACACTAGAGAAAATATAGATAAGATATATTTGCCTATAGACTTTCACATCCCCTTGGTGTTTGAGGTCATCGCCACCATTACTCGAGGAGGGCCGCGGGCGTTGTTCAACCAGATTTGGGATGATCGAAAATGAGTTTTTGGGGCTGAAACCACCAGCAGTTTTGCGGATGAAAAAAAAAGCCCATGACGGATCCTAATGGTGCTGCCATTTTTGGTAACATGGATGCCATCAATACACCCCAGTCATGTGAGCATATATACAGAAAACCATGGATCCTATGGGTTATATAGTACAGCTTTGGACATTTGCACAGGGAAAATCAATGTGAAACCGTGAAACCACTAAAAGATGAGGCCTTTGAAGATGAATGAGACAATGAACATTGCAATGCTGCAGCTGGGATGTGGCCACCGGGCCGACATACAGTACTAGGAACGTGCCGTAACTGGGTTGGATGCCGAAAAGAAGCACCCTACCATACAATGATGGTCAGTTTTGGGAAGGCAGCAAGCATAATGCAGCATTGGATTGTCTTTTTTTCCTTTTGTGGTGGGAATTGATCCAGATACCTAAATTTCATTCAATTTCATTCAGTTTCTGCATCTGGGTTTGTCGAAAATGCATGAAAATGCAAATACCCCCAGAAACAGGCTTGGTTATCAGAACTTCAACTATCAAAATTGCATTTTTTTGGTTTATACCCAGCCTTTCGGTATACAGTGCCACATTTCCAAGTGCCACGTCATTTGTTGATGCTGAACTAGCCAGTTCTATCGCCCAGATAAAATGGTTGGTTCATTGTACTCCTTATACACATCTTCATTTGGTTTTGACATATTTGTTTTTGATTGTTTTTCTTAATGATTAGGTCCACATATGTCCAAGAATTGGATCAAGGAAACATTTGCAGGAACCCCTATATGTACATATATGTCATGTATTGCCAAAAAAAAACAATTTCCTGTCGACCTTCGCAACAAAACCCATCCAATGCTGGCTGGTCACAGCAACCCCCTGCAGGATATGTGCCCCGTTCAGATGGCGGTGGCAAATCCGGAGGCTCGCGGGTTTGTTACCTAAAAGTGGGTTTGTTTGAAATAGGGAAACTCAAAATCCATCAAGACTGAATGGAATTATTATATAATAAAATATGTAGATAAATATATGATACAGTATAATATTAAATAAATATATATACATATTTAATATAATATATCTAATATATAATATATTTATATATTATATATATATATATGTATATTCATGCGCACATGTGCTCGAAGAGGTTCAAAGATTGTTTGTGATCGCATACGTTCAAGGTTTGTCTATGATCCAGCAGGTGCCAATCAATGCGGAAAAAAGGTTGAAGTTTGCAGCCGAGTACTGGACGGATATGCCATGATATACACATTATGTGTTTTTTTCTTTTGGGGGGGTGGTCCATTTCATAATGTATTGCATATCCATTATGGTACTCGTATACTGTATCTCATTTTGTGGCCATATCATTCGGATTATACTGTATATGATGGGGAAAACACCAGCAGATCAATATGGTTGTGGAACCATGTGTAAACCGTTTTGCTGGGTTTGTGTATTGGATAGTTATTTTTACTATATATTTTAATGTATATATATAGATATTCATTTATGTACATAGTGGTGTTTCCGCTTTTATCCCATATATGGAACTGTAACATTACATTGGTTTGATTTATATATAAGAGCATTGTATATTCTTGGATTGCTATAATTTGGGATGCGGCTTAGCTGGGAAATCCCCCTGTAAACAGAAATTACCCTCTGGTTATGACTAACATAGCCATATGGAAAATCACAATTTTTAAGTTCGGTAAACCATCTATTTCCATGGGCCACTTTCCATGGCTAAATAACCAGAGATTAATAGCTGGGAAAATCATCTATAAATCGTGGATTTTCCAGCACGCAAAGCGTTTGGGCCATATTTGGGGCTTCCCATGGCCAGCTTTAGGATCAACTCTCGGGCGATTCACGTCATCTGCAATTTGTTGCTGGTAAACATACAAAAAGCGACATAGAAATTGCCATTTATAATGGATTTACCCGTTCAAAATGGTGATTTTCCAGTTCGCTATGTAAACGTTTACCAGAGGGTAGCAGGTTCAAATCGGAGTCCCAGAGAACATACTGTAAGTTCGACGAGCTCCTCTTGTACCCCAAAATTCTCCCAGCTTTGTTTATTCAATGGCCATTTCAGGAACCTAAATTGCAGGTAGCTTCCATATATAAGGACTCAATATAAGGCCCATTGATTTTTTGGTGTGTTTTTTTGGAAACAGGTGACGCATTCGGCCAAACACCTCCACCGATTCTTCACACCCAAAGAGTGACCCAAACATGACTGGGACACCTTTGGAGGCGGTTGGTTGGTTTCAAGTACCATCTACCTATGGATATAGCCACCATTATCCACCATCATGATCCATAAAGCATAGTTGCGGTAGTATACACGAATTGTTTTAGTCAACTTATATAATTTGTATATATATATATATATTTATATATATATATATACGTACATTATCCATGAATCATCCCATTTCATTGTGAGTTATATCCCACTATGTCCCACTATATCCCCACTGTATCCGATTGTATCCCGTTTTGTGCTTGGTTATTTTTTTTTATTTTGGCTGAATTGTAAGAATTTCACAAACCTGCAAATGGTTATTTGGCAGATATTATATGATATTATCAAATTGCAATAATTTCACTTACCTGATCATTTCACCAACCTACAAATTTCATTATTTGCCAACTTATCACTGAAGACTTGCGGTTATAACGACACCCTCTGCCAAAATCTGTCCCATCCCATCGTTCAGTCATCTCCGTAGGTGGCAAGGGCGGCCCTGGCACCTTGTACGACGCCATCTATGGCTCCAAAGGTGAGCAACCGAAACACCTGGAATTACTTGGTTTGTTATAATCATAATTATTATTACTAGTGTTATATTATGACATAGTATTATATATATACCATCAGCTTGCACTTGGTTGAAAATTCAAGGTTTTTTGATCGAAACTAGGTTTTGATGGCCATAACCTACATTTTGAGGGGGGGTTGTATTAACCTATCTAAAAACCAGGTTTTCCAACCTTTGCCCCATGGTGACTCAGGACTGACCCATCTAAAGAGCCATTTGGCTTTCATGGTGCATATCATGGTGATACAAAACATGCATTGATGGCATACAAATGTCAAATGAGATCGTATTTAGGTATTGCAAGGGGAAAGACCAAAAACCGAATCAAGCCATGCCATGCAATGATGAGTGCTATACACAACCTTCAAGTTGGTTTTACTAGATGATGGGATTTGATGGGGTTGATAACTGAGATTTTGATTCCATCAGTCCATACATATCCCGCTTCAGTCCAGCCCACTGGCCACATGACCACCAGTGCTTTGATCCCACGTCCCTTTTGGCTTCTTCAAGCTGGTGAATCCATCAGCCGGGAACCTCAGAAAGTCCTGGAGCACAGCAGCTGAGTAGGTCCCAAGTGCACCATCAATTCATTGCCTTCACATAAGAGAAATCAAAACATGGATCACTCAGGCACAATGAGTTGTAAAGCTCATGGAGATACATTCCATGTTGTTTTGATGAAAGAATGGGCTGACTTGATCATCACTGGCATTCCTTAGATGTCCGTGCACTTTACAACCAATGCATGCATCAGCCAACATTTTGGCTACAAGGTTTCAAGAGGTCCACCAAGGGTTCACCGCCCCCACTTTGACATGCCTCGTGCGAAGCCTTCAGCTAAAGTTGGTCCGCCTTGTGATGTGCAGCACATCTACAGGGAGTGGAAGGCATCGGCTGGGGTCAGGAATGTGGCTGTGAAGCGGGACAGGATCTTTGAGTCTAGCGTGGGTGATGATTCGGGTATCAAATTTGTCATCAAAGATGCGGCTCACAATGAGCTTGTTTTGATCCCCATTCTCAAGAGAATGGCAGCTACTCCGCAGCATCGTCTCCCCAATGTGAAAGATTTGGCCAGGGAGATGCTTGGGTTTAAAAAACAGAAATTCAACCCCATGTGTTCTTTGTTCTTCCATGTTCAACAGCAAATAGTGCAATGTGATCTATGACATATAGTTATAGCCATTAGGATGCCATGCATGACCAGTGGCCCCCTGAAAATCAGAATTTGTGACATCCAAGGATCCGACTCTTTCGAACCAAGATGTCATTGGTAGTCCAGCGGGACAAGCTGAAGCTTGATGCCTGGACATGCAAATCCATGTGCAGTTTCGTGAAGATGAAGACCCATAAACGGCTGGGCTCTGTTGTTTCTCGATTTAAAATTCCATTTGTGAGAGTCAGCTTTGTTTTGCATCCATCTCATGGAGTCCACGAACTTGTTTCGACCCCATTTGTAAAAAGGCACATGTGTGAATTGTAAGTTATTCAACCAACATGTCATCAAGAATCTTATAAATTTGGATAAATTTGGGTATTTTTTTCCATGGTTGAATCCAGGGTTAAAGGGACAACTTCAGTGTCGCCAACCCTTTTTGCAGGACATTCAGTTCTTGAAGCTGCAGCGCATCTTGGACCCATCGATCCAGGCGACATTAGGGTATAACAAACAGCTGGTTTAAGACACAGGTGTTTGATATCATTTCCTCAATAACATATTTCCCTCAAGGTTTTGATGCCTTTTCTTATACATCGCATGTGTGTGCATGTGCAATGATGTACAGACAAAATACGCAGCAAATTGTGCAAAGGAAAATGCATGTGTCAAGTTCACAAATAGGCAGCAAAGTCTATGCGGCTTAGTTTTCCTAAAGTTTTTGTTTCAACTCAAGGTAAATATATGCATGGCCATCCCTTGCATGCACATAATGGTTCCTTCATGTTCCTTCTATATTTGGTTTAATTTGGTCCTGTAGTTTTAATAAATGTTGCTGTTAATTGACAATACTTTGAAAGTTTGTTCCTGTGAATTGCATATCCCCCTGCAGCCCTGCAACCACTGTGATTCTGATGACGAAGAACATGGTGAAGAGGATCCTGATCTGGGGAAGATTTTGTTTGACCCCATGGATGAGGAGTCGGATGATGAAGAGGAAGATTCATGGTTTGATACCATGATTGAGCGAAAGCTCAGTGAGGTTTCTGATGTTACTCCCACTGAACTGGATCCCGACTCCCAGACACTGGCCTTTGATTCCCAGAAGATCCCCATGATTGACCTGGAAGTGCCTGACAGCCAGCCTGACTTGTCGCCTGTCAAGATGGGTTCTCATACCAACCTGCGACCTGTTGCCCGCCCACTGAAGGTTTCTGAGGAACCTATGTTGCCTGAGAGCCCAGGGAAGAAGAACGCATGGTTGGAGGACTGTGAGGACATCAAACAGCATGCCCGAGAGAGCGCAGCCAGGACACGTCGCATCGAAGCTTTGAAAGCCAAGATTGCCGAGCTGGAGTTGGAAGAGATTGGCTTGTCGAGGCCCAGGTTTTGTTCAAGGGTTGATGTGTGTGTGTGTGATTCATGTCGAGTGTTAGATGAAAAGACATGCACTTTTGAATCAATCACAAACAGCTAGCTCTTGTAGGGTTGGCATCCATGACTCATGGTTCACATAAAACTCAAATTCTAACTTATACATATATATATATATATATAGCCTATAGCTTATATATATATATCCTAAAAGAAAATATCTTAGCAACTAGCCACCAGGCCAAGTTCTTTCAAAAGGGGACAGAATACACATGTGCAATTAAACCATGAAGGTTTAAACTCATTCCACCGCCTCCGAGGTCTATGCCTGCGGAAAAGTCTGCAGGGTCCAGTGCAGGGTCTGATGAGTTGTGGGTGGTGCCTGATGATACCTTGCCCTATGGAAGTGATGTTGATCAAACCCTAGCACTAGAACATGGAGATGAAATCCCGGTTGGTGTGGGTCTTCTTCTTCAAAAGGAATCGGAGATGGTTGACATGGAGAACAAAGAGCCAACTGATGTGCCAAAGGCTCCCCGGAAACTTTGTCACAAGAACACACTTGACATTGAGGATGATGATTTGAAAGCAATTGAGAGGGAGCTTGAAGAGATATCGGATGGCAAGGTCAGGTGTTCCTTTCAAATAGTACATGCATGCATACATGTCCGAATACATAAATTTTCTATGTACATGTTGGATTTGTTTTCAAATGTATGATATGTATGCATGCAATATGAAAAGTGAGGTGAGCACTTTTTATATCAAGACCTATGGGCTGCAAAACTATCTTAAACCTCATGGAACCACCCAGGGGTCATGGTAAAACTACACCTTCTTAAAATGGTGCTCTTCAGTCTTCAGTTCAATAATTAATTACAACAGTTCTCTTCAACTTAAGGTTTTGCTATGGGCCCTGGTCACCTACTGCTTCAGGTGCTCACGCGCAGAGATCAGCTGGCTGCAAAGGCCAAAGAGAAGGAGGAGAAGGATCAGAACCAGGGTCCGAGTCGAGGTGGTGGGCGTGGACGTGGGCGTGGCAGGGGAAGGGGCCGAGCAAAGTCAAAGTCGGCAGCCAAATCTGTGGAGCCCCCTGAGATCCCTGAGCATGTTCCCGAGAAGGCTTCATCTTCCAAGAGGGCAATCATGTCCACTCCAGAGCGCAAGAAACTTTTTGATGACTCTGATTGTGGCATGGATGGCACCCCTTTCAAGGAGGAAACCCCATCTAAGACAGAGCCATCGCCAGTCAAACCCAGGAAAGCCAAGAGAGCCAAACGTTCAGTAAAGACACCCCAGAAGGCAGAACCTGAACCTCCAGTGCCCATGCCTGAGGTGGGTGCTGATGCACCCAACGGGGATGAGAATGGCAAGAACGACAGCAGGCAGAAGAAGCCCAAGACCAAGCCCGCTAAGGAGCCTGTTGTGCCCAAGACCAAGACCGCTAAGGAGCCTGTTGTGCCTACGGACAGCCAGAAAGCCGAAGCCGCCCAGGTGTTGATAGAAGCCAAGCTTGACCCTGCAGCCGTGCACCACCTGACCAAACTCTTTGCGGGAACCCAGCTTGAGGAAAGACCCAAGACCCAAAGAATGACCTATTGGGGATTCAGCCTGTACTATGAGGGGAAGCGTGTTGGGTTGCTTCAGAAGAAGCAGGAGAAGGGTGCCAAGAAGCATGTGATGACATTCTCTGGGGGCCCATCATGCACTCACATCGGCATTCCTTTGGCAGCTGCATACATGCTGGTTTGGGTCTTATTTGTGTGAAGCCATGTGCGATCATGCATGCATTCATATACATATGCACTTGCTGAACATATCAAAGAAAGCAAATAAATTTTCCCATTGCAATTTCACCTTTAGTTTTATCTAACATGTAGACTGCACATATAGGATTGTTTTCTTTCCCATTGATGTTTATTTGTGTGCCCGAAGGCAACCCAAATCACAAGGTACGCAAGAGTTTTGGGGCCCCACTGGGGCAAAATCAAATTTGGTCCTAAATTTGGTCTCGAATTTAAATCCCGTTTCACAAAAGTTATGTGAATTGTGGTTTGTGATTGCATATGTTTACAAGCTAGTGCAGTGGCATGCATGCATATTTAGACGAAGGATCTATGCTGACACTTCTGTAGTGTTAAGGGAAATCTGGGGGGGGAGATTCACAGGAAAAAACAAACATATACTTGCACAATCTTGCACATACGGAGTTTAGAATTCATTATCTCTGTGCATGTGTAATTATATTTCTATATTTAATATCTTAAAGCTTGAGAATGAATTTACACATTGTACATATGGAACCTTACCAGAAGTGAATCTTCAAACCTATATATATGTGGTGACTTGGCACTGCTCAGGTCGATTACGCTGGTGGTGACAAATGCGGTGACAAATGCCAAGACTTGGAGTCGAAGGACATCCTGGACTACAAAAATGCATTGGATGATCTTATCAAGGCAGTTTCAGTTGCTCATTCAATGGGGAAAACCCTCAGAGATTTTTGAGCGACACTTATATGGAGTGAAGAAATTTTGATGGTCAAAGGCAACTGCTTCCCCCACATCCCATGAAATACCATTGTTTGAAACTCAAAGGCTTCATCGTTCCTTCCATTCACTACTCGTTCATTTATTTGATCTAGTTTTGTAACCATAATGGAATCTTGGGTAGAACAACGAATCATTGACTCAAGTTCATGTATTCCCATGGATGGGACTGGTGGAAACTGCAGCGCCGCTGGTGACAAGTCAAATAAAACATGTTGCGGGCATAGTGCCAGCTGGCAACTGTTTCACACTTGGGTGTCACCGATTGCTAGGGCCTATATGTGCGCATTGGATTTACAATATGTGAAATCTACACATGTTTATATATACATTTTTTAAGTTGATACATCATTATTCTGGTATATGTTGGCAGTGGTTTGCAATAAACAACACTCTGCACTGGAATGGTGCGTTTGTTGGGTGTGAAATCCTTGGTGCACTGGCCAACAATTGTGTGCGAGGTGCAGTGTGCAAACTGCTAGCTTTGGCAGGCTTACCAATCCAACAACCTGCAACTTTGGATGGTGGAAAAAAAAGCCAATGATTGTTGGCAAGTTCGGGGCAAACAACAAAAATACAATCCCTTGCCTCATGTACGTACAAATGTTTTACAAATTTATTGACACACATCGAACAATACACCATGGGCATCTCATCAAATCTCATTGATCCCCTTGATGAATCAATTAAAGAAATTAAGCTATATGGAGCCACATAGATAGATTACAGAACAATCATGTTTCCATTCCTTGGTTTCCTCAAGCAGTCCTTTACCATTTGCCTGTGTCTCCGGCCTGAGGTCAAGATTGATGCCAGCCACCAAGCGGAAAGCCTGGCAGATCCGTCTTGAGGGACGGCAGGATGGTGAGGATGGTCCATCTGGCGATGTTGAATTATGAATCCCACTGCTTGTGATTAGGGAGTGGTTGTTGACAATCAAACACCATTCAATTTTTCCCAGGGTTGTGGGTTCATGGCATGCACAAGTTCCACAACAGTTCACAGCAGTGCATGTTGATGTCAACCCACTCTGAAACATTGCAAATTCCTGTCTAACATAGTGATGTGATTGTGATATGTTTTCTGATACCCGAAATCTTTGGCTCACATGCTGAGTCATTGAGATCTGGGGGTCAGGGGAATCTAACCCACACCAATTGCTGCCATGGGTGGTTGTGAGCGGATGACCCTACCAACACTGCTTTGGCGCTTGCAATGCGTTCGTGCTCCCAAAGCCCTTCCCTCAGAACCACTTGACAATCCATACATGTGCATCCATGCATGTGTGTTGATAAACCTTATTGACATGGAAAGCATTTAAAAGGGGGTCCAAGTGCAAGGTGGCAATTTCCTTTTTGATTCCCATGTTTTTGCAAATGATTTGGGAACTATCCATGAACAAATTGAACTCGTCAGTTTGTGAGTTAGTTCCTGGTTGGGCTGCATATGTGCATATATAGAGCTGTACCCCAACCCCGTCTGTGCTACTAGGTGCTGATGACGCTCGTTCTACTGATTTTGTGGTCATCAAATGTGACCACATTGACAGAGGCTGGTGGGTATATCTGGGATGGACTTGGTTGCTGAATGCCAACCACAAAGAATAAATTTGCATGCATACATGCATGCATGCATGCACATGTAGAAATTGAAATCAAAAACACCGAGACAATTACTGGGTCATCACCTTTCACAATTATCTGCATGCAAGTTTTGGATTCAACATGTTTTTCATATTTCGGTTTCATGGACTTCAGCTATCGCCTTGACGTGCGCAGTCCTACGACTTCATTGAACTTTGGGCAGGGAAGGCAATGGTGTCTACAATGATCCAGAAGTCCGGCAGGCAAACAGCTTCTTTAGACATAGGGTATTGGGAACCAGATGCTCAACACCCAAATCGGTCCAACCATTTTGACATTATGACGACTTCAGGATTCTTGCTACTTGGATTCATTTTGATTGCCATTGATGATGCCATATGATTACCTAATGCAAATCCTGCGAACCTCATGTGTGGACATAGGTGTGCCTATGCCAGAACCAGGGTTTCTGTTTCTTGATTTTTTGGTTGGGGAAAAATGCATCCAATCCTTAAGATCTTATTATTGGAAAAACACAGCCCAAATAAAACCATGATAGGCCATGAGTCATGTGAGATTTGGCCCACTATACTTTGTACAACTTAGGTTGGCTCTGGCAACAATCCTGAATGCCAAGCCTGGAGCATTCACAGTTCTATGTGGAATCGTTTGCAGTTCATGGACGGTGATCAACATGGGCACTTCTGGCCGAACAACATGTACACCATTGGGCCGGGATGACCGTCATTACGTACAAGTTGCCAATTGCATGGTAAGCAGGTGGTTTAGTTGCAAACAGTTTCCTCCAAGTATTCCCTGGCATACTGTATATATAATTTATTATATATATATATGCATGCATGTATATTATATGCATATACATGCATATATTTTAATATATACATTTTTCATACATGAGATGACGATTAGTAAAGGATAATTGTACGATCCAGCCACATATTGTTTATCCAGCCACATGCCTTTCCCCAAGGCTGTGCCTCATACTGATCCTCGTAGAGGCACTCAGTGGATGCTGGGTGGTGGAGCAGCCTCATCAATCGCTGCTACGCTTCCATCCCCGTGTGATGGACACATTCGCTGAATTGAGAGAAACATGGCCCCAAACGTATAGTTCAGGGGCTTGATTTTTGGAGGCTTTTGGACTACCAGGTATTGTAAATCAACCCATGATGCATGGATACATGTGTAGTTCAACCTTTGGGGTGATCAATCATAATGGATAGTGAACAACAAGTGGTGGGTTGATTCTATGAGTTATCAGTGGCTGCAATGACCTTTTGGGTCCGCAACCGTTGTTGCTTTATGTATGCGTACATACTTGGGAAATATAGTTCTCAGAAGTATAGGCCTGCATGTTTAGAGTGGAACCAACATGGGATGGTATGGATATATTATCATATATGTGGGCTATGAGACCTGAAGCAGCAATGTTCACTGACCGGTGCCTCTATCATATGCATGTTCTAGTACTGCCACTATATTCATTTTCAAATCTTTTGGGACTGTTCCTGAACTTGTTGCAGGTACACTAAACGCAGCCGCAAGATGTTGCAAAGTATGTGTTTTTCCATCAGAATTCGCAAGAAATTGGTCTGGTTCCAATACGTGCTTTCTAGAGGCAAACATGTCCAAACTGACAAGACCATGAAAGAAATGATGCTATAGCCATTGAAATTGTGTGTGGGTGCATTTATGTTACCCAAAGATGCTTGATTTCCAAATCCCCAGGATAAAACAATGTTTGCAATCCTCAGGCATTTCGTGAAGTAGTTGCCATCAATGGTATATGTATGGGTAAACCATTAAGCGAGGGTCTCGTAACAACAAGGGGATGGAAAATAGGATGTGAGTCAAGCTTGGACATCCTATTTTCGAGGGCTTGGCTTTCCCACTGTTCTGTGTTTTGGACTTCAAACCCATATATGATGTATTATCTGATGCTATTTGAAATATCATAACAAGATGTGTCACTAATACCATACATGCATGCATGCTAGGCACTTCATATTTCTTCATATGCCCCTGGCCCCATCCACCAATAAAAAAGGTACCACTCGCTGATCCTTTGTACTGGAATGTACTGGATGCATGTCTTGAGCATAGGACTTCCCAAGCAGTTGTTATAAAGAATGACCATCTCGAATTTACAAGTAAATGTTTGTTCATGCGTAATAAGACTATACAACACGCAATCAGTTGTAATTATGCATGCATGCATGTACAGCATACCCTGGAATACATGCATGCATGCATATATATATATATATGATTATATATGTATCCTCACTCGTCTAGCCTCCAAGTTTGCTGAGGCATGGGCAGCGCGCTGGTGGATGGCCCACTACAAAGGGGGTACGCCTAAGCGACATATCGCTTGGAGCAACAGCTCGGAGATCCGATGGTTGGATTCGGGGAAACTCCATAAATTTGACTACAAGGCGGCGGAATATGTTGCAAAAAGAACTGCCAAGGTAACCATTAACAAGGATGGTAAAAAACAGTTCACGGGCCGAAAGGCTCAGCTGAAGGACAGTCAGTAGCTTGACCCTACATGAGGTTCTGGTGCCAATGGTTTCCCATAAGCCCAACATCCAGAGTTATGGTTTCAACATGCGGGTTTGTCTCAAGATCGGGGAAGCAGTCAGGGTGTGCGAAAACTTTTGCTATAGAAAACATGGAGTTTTCTCACAACCATGTATCCTCAGATCCCAAATGGTGCAAACAAGCTACCAAACTATTAAAGTCTTATTTCAGCATGGATGGCAGTTGTTTGATTTTTGGAGCTTAGCTGGATTCCCCCGATGTCTTTCATGGTATTTTGTGATGACCTCATCATGAATGGATAAACACGATCAGTTCTGTTCTACATCCTGAAATGTCAGAATGGCTATGGGTTTCAATGGGTTCCAACAAGGTTTAACATTTGTGGGCTGGGTGGAAAGAATCATATCTGTTCTTTTTTACCAGGAAATCATGTCCATGTTCCGTTGCTCCCGGCCATGATCGGCCATGTTCAATAAAATGCAAATGCTGCATCAATTTTCACAATAATGCATGATGCAATTGCAAATACGAAACACACAAGTTCTTTCCCGTAGGGGTCCACCTGATGATGTTTGAAACAGCATCAACACCCGACATCATTTTAAATGAGTTGTGGGCATATAACATGAAGTGTTTCAGCCTGGGGATGTGGCCTAACCTTGATTGGTAATTGCTGCCCTGTTCTGCACTGAGGCACTACCCATACCGCTTTGGGCTTCGCATGCTGAGGATCCTACCCAGCTTGCAAAAAAGCTGCCAGAAGGCATTTCCACCCATGCCTGCCGATGTTGATACATTGGCCATGTACAGAGCGATCTCATTTGAGGATCTTTGGGAAGATGCGGAGGTCCCCCAATGTATCGAATACTTGAGGGGTAACAAATCCCTTCAAATCCCAGCTGAATGGAAGCCTCACTTGCTTCCTTCCACAATTTAATTTCCAAGGAATTGTGGCTGCTAACCACGATGGATCTAATTTGATCTAAATTGGTACAATTTACAAGTGCACTTGGCTGCAACTCTCGAGTTTCCACACGGTTTTTACCCTGGGGTTGGAAAACCAGGTTTTGCCCCGTAGGCAACCCGTAAAAAAACCGTAGACCGTAGACAACCAATAAAACCCCCGTAGATGACCCGTATTTACCCGTAGAATTCTACGTAATATTACGTATTTTACCCGTAATTTGAGAATCTGGTTTTTTCACGTTTTTACCAAAAAAATCCTATTTTGATAGCTTTTGTGAACTTAAGATCGGAAAGACCGTGTGTCTCATTATGTTTCATTTGATTGATGCTGGGAAGCCAGCTGAAGTGAAAGGAACTCGTGCACATTGTCCTGTGGAAAACAACTTGAGTACACATTCTTTCATGCACTGAAGAAAATTCATGTGCACTTGTAGATTGAAGAAATGAAATTGGATGTCAATCATTTGTGGCAACTGATTTACCTTATATATAGAGCTGCCACGGCTCGAAACTTTTGGGTAGAATACTAGCTTGGGAGCTTCTAGTTACCCGCTGCCCCAGCTTATCCTTCCCGGTTTCCCAGTGCCCATCGCTGACCATGTCGAACATCCGCAGCTGTGGGTCACTGTCCTCTGGCAACGACAAACTCTTGAGGGTCAAGGCTGAGCAGCTGTCCAAGGACGAACGCATGAAAGAGATTGCAGCCAAAAGACAGGCAGGGACCATGCATATATATTATATAAAAATGATCTTGAGTGTTGCAGGTTGGCAGGGATAACACTATCTTTGGTTTCCCATTGTGCCCAGCTGGGATACTTCACTTCAGTAAAGGACAACAAAGGGGTATCAACATACAAGTCTCTCCAATACAGCAAGATCAACACTTCTAAAATTGAGTTTTGTCCGGTGATAGGCTATGGAGCAAGAACTCGCAAATTTGGAGAAAGAGAGCATGGCAGTGGACCAGGAAGAAGCCACTTGTCAGCTTGATCTCATATGATCCGAAGGGCACTCATGGTTTGACTTGGGAGACATCATGGTATCACAGGGCATGCCAAGCTGCCACATTTATTTGTTTATATTTAATTTGATATAACATATATATATATAATTAAATATATATATATATATATATGGCATGCATGTATCATGACGATTGGCTTTTCTCGGTCCTGCACCGCTTCTTGCTCAGGATGAAACGCAACCTGCTTCTTGGCTGAGGTTATGGATCAGCCCCATGTTATCAGCAAAATAAACTGGGTATGTTCACACACACGAACAGTAAATAGAGAACCATACAGAAGCAACTTGAGGGAAGATCCTTGCCGAGTCAACAATGATACATGATGTCCGTGTGGATGTAAAAAGGGTAAATGGTTTGATATGTTTTGACGATCGTATCTGTGGCCTAGGCTACTGAGGAAGAGTTGAAGGCTTCCAAACGGTCACCTCCGGGTTCCACCAAGACTACTCCAGTGAAGTCTCTCTCAGCCCCGAAAAGACATCGCTCAGAGGCCTATTGTTTTGTTGGGTCTTGTTGGGTTGCAGTGCTTCAGTGTTTGTTTAATAAAGCATTCTCCTGGGTTACCCATTTACGGAATGAACGCTTTTGAATCCTAATTGAATCTAATTGGTGGATGCTCTTTATGTGAAACTTCAAAGCTGGAAGTGGGATGTCACCATTCATTCAACATTGGTGGTTCACCGAAATTTAGATTCCATTTTTAGGGTTCCAAAAGGGTGTGTCTTGTTTTTGATTTCATTGCAAATTGAAGATGATAACCCTTTCTATTAGGATCATGGCCACTGTGCTGACCCTTACACAATGTAGGCTCCCTGTCCCTATCGGCACCATTGTGCAGGGTGGCCTGGCTGAGAAGCCATCGCCTGCAATGGAAGTTGGTCCAAGTGGGGATGGTGGAAGTGGTGCGACCAGCCAGGAGTGGGTTCCCCCTTGAACTTATTTTGTTTACATCGTATGGTCAGTTTATGCATAGACACATCTTATGATACATGTTTCATGCGATCTCATGTGTAAATCAGCTACGTTAAGACCCATGTGACCCCATGTGCTATTTGTTATGCAACGCATACCGTAGCCACTGGTTCCACAATACATGCTTGTCATGGAGCTCGGGGAAGCACATACACAAAATCCATTGGTAAATATATTCGAAAAAGACATCCAATGAATATCATTCACTTCCATCATCTACTGATTACTCTCTTGTGCATGAAGAAAATATTGTCAATTCAACTTTTACAATTTTATAAAATCAATACGTGCTTTATTACCAAGTCTATTCTGTTCAGAGGGAAATTAACCTAGCTGTTCCCAACGAGAATGTCCAGGAGCCCACTGTGAAGTCTCTCCAAAACCAGTTGGATGATGCGATGAAGTTGATTGAGAACCTGAAGATTGCCCAAATGAAGGCCACCCCGGCTCCATCATCTGCAGCCAGAGGCAAACCTGGTACCCCATCTTCAGCTGCGGGTACCCCATCTTCAGCTGCGAAGACTACCCCAGGAGCCAGTGCCAAGAAGACTCCCGCCAGTGCTTCTGCGACTCCACAGAGCTCTTTATCAAAGAGCTCTGTGGAGTCTCCGGGGTCTAAGGCCAGACCATTCATGATTTGACCAATTTGGGGAATAATATATGGTTCAAATTGTATTTGCATATATGTATATATATATCATATAATATATATATATATCACAGTATTTTTATGTTTTCTGGCAGGCTAAAGGCATTAAAGTATTTGCTGGTAGCTCCATGCCACATGCCAATCACAGAAGACCACCCCATCTCTGCCTCATAGGCCGCAGAGGAGGATCTCGAAGAGAAGGAGAACAAAGAGGCCCTGGCACGCTACAAGATGGTGGATGCACGTCTCAGAAGGCTTTGCGAGAAGAAGCCGTCAGGTAAGGTGCAAGTGCCAGACAGCATCCACCAACAATGGCTTCAGGTTGGAAAACCCCGCGACGAACTGCGCCAACTACTCGAACTTTACGAGTTTGACAAAGAATCTTGCCTATATGCTACAATGCAAAATATTGTATCACATGTATACATCGATCGGGCTTATATAAAATCAACAGAGCTCCAATTTTGAGTATTTGTAGTTCCAACCATCCAACATCCTTTGTGAATACTCAGCTATAGTGTTGTAAATTCATAACTCATACAAGTCATTGGATGTACTTCATCGAAAATGCAACTGGGGCCCTCCAGCAAGAATATATCTAATTGCATCCTATCTATCTAGTAGTCTTCCATTGGCCGAAATTCATCTGCAGGACAAGTTCATCCACCGGGTCACGAAGATGATTGAGCTGCGAAAGGAAGATGCACAGGAGGTGCTGAAGGGATGGTTCACAGTTGACATGATGAAGACTGAGCTCAAATGGTCTTCGAAACTTGGTTGAGCTATTCTGTTGAGGGTGATTGGGATGGATGGCCATGATACTAAATCCAAATCCCTTATGAATTATATACGTATTGATCATCAATCATGGTTTTCTTCTATGTATGGCATGTTGTGGTATTGCATGGCCCCAGTGGCTCAATGCGTTGTCAACTGTCAAAGGGTACCAACAAGGTCATTGTTGTGTCATGTAGCTGCAAATAAAAACTAGAACCAACTATTTTTGTTTTTGGTTTTGTGTACTCATTGATGGTATTTATATATAGTTATCAAAATTGAACTGGTGTTTGCATCCTGGGGGTTCCTTCTGTGCAGATCCCTGTCTGACCCAACAGCAAATCGTGCCCTGGCCTTCAGGAGTTATATCAAAGACGTTGTGACCTATTGCAAGAAGCATGGCTTGGTAAAGACCCTTTGGCTGCACATATATGGGGAAAACGTGGGGAACCTATATATGGTCTGCAGTCTTGTGCAATCATTGGAAAAATTGGTGAACATAATATATATATATATATATTTATAACTATCAATTGTTTGGTCAATTTTTGGGGTATCTGCCCTGATCCCTCTTTCCATGTTTGTAGCTCGGGTGAGTTGATCAGGAACGACAAGTACAGCACCAAGATCTTCAAGTACTTTGTCGGGTACAGCGACAAAGAGTCGACCAAGCGTGTCAAAACTGAGACTGAGCAGCAATCTTCTACTGGTGAGGCCAGGGTTTGAGGATATGATGGTTTTAGTTTGGATGAATGCAGGGCATGTTACACTATGAGAAACCATCCAACTTTTCAGTCATGTGTGAATAACGATCTGAATCTTAAGCATGGCAAAATTTCTGAGCATGCTGCAATCCCAAGAGTTGTTTCCTCTATAAAGGTGTGAATCTCATGTGAAGCATCCCTCATGTAAAACCCAAAAAAATCTGGTATAAGTGTCACTTCTAATATCCCACTCCATTGCAGGCCAATGCGGGAGTTGAACTCTCTGGCGACTGGTTGCAGCCCACCTTGGAGCAGGATGCCGAAGGTGGCGATGGAGGCAATGTGTTGTCTCCTGAGCAGGAAGCGACTCATCAAAACTGTGGATATATAGAAAGTGCATGAAACAAAAGTCATCGAGTTATTTGTTCCACATGTGCAATTTTCAGTTTGATATAGGTGGTGAACCTGAAACATCAAAACAAAAATGAAAGGATAAATAAGATCCTTATGTTTCCTTTGAGCTGGTGGACTTCCATCAAAACACACCAAGAATTGGAAACACATCTGGAATGGACAGTGTGCTGTACTTCCCCTTTCACCCTTCTTGACCTATGTATGACCCATGATCTTATGCACACATGTTGAACAAATTCAAGACCTGGTGGCTTGAGGAATTGGAGACTGAGCAGAAGTTCACTGATGGCATGCTGACAAAGATGTCGAAGATTACGGACTTGATCTCCAAGCTTGACAGTTTCAGTGCGGGTGAGGACTCTGCCCGTGTCAAGAAGCATCTAGGCTATTTCTGGGTAAGACCATTTTCACTCACACACACAATTGCACCCGCAATACATGTTGAACATGTTCCAGCTAGTCTTCCCAAAAAGCGAATGCATGTAATTCAACTTTGGGGGACAACACAAGCCGCTTTGTGTGCCCAGGTCGGTCGAGGCCTTGGAAACGAAGTTGGCTGCAGCTCAGGGAGCCTATGACTCGTTTGTGGCTGCCAAAACGGCATTGGAGACAATGACCAGGACCAAGGAGAATCTCGGTTTACCCTATTGGTAATTCAATCACAGTATGAAACCTGTCTCATGGATGGATGAATTTGTTTATGAATTAGTTTCCTCTATCAAGTACATCACATAAGGATGCCTAGCATGCAGAAGTGTACATATATATGAACACGTGTCTCATGTTCTCTGCATCCACTGTCCACCGGATCGTGATAAAGAACCCTATACTTTCTTCAGGTCTGGTTTATGTTACATTAATTCCACACTCGCTATGTTGATTCAAATCAGGAACACGGTTGACCTGAAGAAGCACATGCGGGATGCTATGCAGAAGTTCCTTGTTCTGCAGCGGGATCCTTTGTGAAACTGAAGAGTTGGGAAATTAAGCCGATATTTCTTTCAGCCTATCATCCACTCATATTTCTGATATATATATATACTTGCATGTCAGGCTGGTTTTAGATGAAATATCCTTATCCTATTAGATTATTGCAGTAGATAAAATGCCCCTTGATACCCATGACCTCCTGTCCTATTCGCCAGCATCTGAGGGCTGCAGCGCTCTCTTCCATCGAAGTTCAAGCGAAGATGCTCGCCTGGCAACGGTGTATCGGGTTGCAACATTTGCCAACAAAAAAACATGGTCAAAAAAAGATTCTGAAGAGTCAAGGTAATCAGCTAAGGTATGTTTTTCATAGTTTATCCCCAAACATGTCGATACAGAGTGTGATGCAATGGCAATTGGCATCCATGATTTTTACCAACAACGAATTTGTATGCCAATATCTGAGGGCATTGGAGAAATCCCTGAAGAAGAAAAAGAAGGATGCTGCTGAGACTGAGTGATTTGCTTCCTGTCCAGCTAGATCACTTTGAGAAGTGAGTATGGAACTCATGTGTTTTAGACACGTGTGAATCCGAGCAGCCCATGTCGGAGCTGTGAAATTTTTGAGTCTGAGCGAGTGCAAGGTCAATCTGCCTTAGACACTTTTGGATTGGCAGTGACCGGAAATTTGGAGGATCTTATCTTCAAATTTGAACATGGACCTTTGACACGAAAGTGGCATGCAAGGGGGAAATAAACTTGTGTCATTCACGCATGTGCAGACATGGCCATGATGGGACCCAGTGTCAACCCCAACATATTCAAAACAGGAATTGATCAGAAATGTTTGAAATTCAATTAAATATAAATCGAGGTAGATCACATGCATATGTTTCATATGTCAAATCTCAAATGTGGTTGAACCAAATTTCTAATATGCCCCGCAGGCAAACCCAAGCCTTCCCAAGACTGCTGCCACATCTCGCCATGCCAGGCCCAGAACCTGAATTGCATGGGTTCGCTCGAATGGTTGGAAATGGCGTGGGGCTTCCCAGCTGGACAGGTGTTGGATTGGAAATCCTATTGCCAACGATTTGATCCCACAATACATTCCATGTTGCCGTTTTCAACCGCAGAGCCGTCACCGGCTGTCATTAGGGGAGTGATGATACCCGTGCTTTGGTTATGGGGATCAAAAGGTCCCAAAGCCATGTCGTAGAAGATGATCTCAGAGATTTGCTGACCTACACATGCCCCTACACTGGGAGAAGCCGGTGCCCTCCTAACTTCAAGAAAGATGCCCCTGTGAGTCCAGGCTGCAACAATGTTACTGCATTTCTTATTGTTTCTTCATCTTCCCAGAAAACCCATGAAACCATTATATGGAATATTGTGGAATCCCATCCTTCCAGGGTATATGATTCATTCCAACTCTTTGCCACAGGAAATGTCGAAGAAGGATTCCTTGTGATGATAAAGAACCTGGCTATTCCTCGATAGCTATGACTCCTTCAGCTAGCAAACCCAGTCGCGTCACCCTGTCTTGAACTTATGTTTATTTTTTGTTGGTTCACTACCCATTTTTTTGAAATCATATCTATAAACCAATGATGACAAGGTTACAAGGTATTGAAGGGTCCCAGTAAACCAGCTGCAATCACCCATGTGGCATAGTTAACCTTTCATGTTAGTTCAATTGTGGTGGTAAACAATGACCCATCGGAAGTTAATTTTTCCCATAAATTTGTGAGATATGTGGCCCAATCCTTCTTGAGACCTCCATGGGCCATCTACTAAAGGCCACTGTGGTGGAAACTACGAATGCTTGTGATAGCAATGGTGTTCATGATTTCCCGGAGCTCAAGAGTTCCCGCGAACCATGTGAAGACTTGGAGATGCAACATCGCGATATCCTACAACATGGGATTTGTTTGACCTACTTGTCCTATCCCCAGAGGCAAAACTCTACTGCTGGGACCATTCTTCGAAGATGCCTGTCAGAGGTCAACTCATTCAGAAACCGAATGGGTAAGAAACTTTGTGTATATAAAGTGGGTTTGACTTCAAGCCCAGTAGTGAGATTCGGCTTTTACAAAGAAGGAAATTACACACACATGTCGCTGCTTTGGGTATCATCCAACCTTGGATTGTGCCAAATGCTGGAAGCAGCAGTAATTTCGGCAAACATTGGAGAGCATGAATGTCGGAACCAAAGGTATGGTGGCGAGGGCCCTCCTTCTGCAGAAACGGCACTGTACCACTTTGTTTACATTGTTGGGGCCCGCGCAGACCAATTCAAACCAACTCATTAATTGAGTCTAAGGCCAATTTCATGCATAATGCAAAATGCATTGTGGTCCAATTCATGGCGTCTAAGATCAGCAAAGTGACTCCGATCTGTGGGAAAGATGTGCGAGGGTTGCTGCAAGGGGTTGTGGTTCCATCTGGGTGCACTGTGTGCCATGCTCAGGGTTGTGACTTTCATTTTTTCCTTTTAAGAGGTTTTGTCAACTGCAGTTTCATACCCTCATATAATGTGCATATATATTGTATACGCAAATCCATTTGGGTCAGCCTCGAGAAGCGATTGAAGTCCAAAAGGGTTTCAAACATGTTTTTAGTCATCGGCATTTTTGGTGATTCGCTGATTGTTTGCCACCCCCTCTCCCAGATCACCTTGTATGATTTTATTTGATCCTTTGTCGGATCCATTGCTGACTGAGGTCGCATGCAGCGATGTCATCAGACAGGCCAGGGTGACAAGGGTGAGTTCCAAGGGAATGAAAAAGCTTGCCAGAGTGAGCTTGAAACGAAGTGAATCTGGCACCCACAGTGTCTTTAGAAAATTTGGGCAAAGCCTGGATGTCAAGATTTCGCGAACTGACCTGGTATCCAAGCCGAACTTTCCTTATGTGAAATTCTCAGATTGGCTGAAGCATGTCGTCGAGACGGACAACTTGCAACAGTTGGTTGGTGTGAAGAATGTTGCTGACATGAGGACAATTCTCTCCACCTTCTGGGGTCGGTATGAATCCCTTTTCCCAGAGCACGTGGTTTTCAGTCGGCGTGACCCTGGATTCTCAAGGGAATTTTGTATTCCTGTGTTGTACCATGGAGATGAGAGAAGGGGGTTAAAGAAACGTCAACTGATGGTTCTGAGTACTCACGGTGTGTTGGGTGCTGGGTCTACCTACAGCAATGCCATGCAGAACGACATTGATGACCCTGTTCTTGGCCCGCTGCGGTTGAATATGGTGGGAAACACCTTTTTGAACCACTTTCTGCAATGTGTTCTCCCCATAACCTTGTACAACGAGACGCCTGAGGACTTCTATTCTATGTTAGATTTGCAGGCCCAGGAGTTTGCACAGCTATTCCAACATGGTTTGAAAGTTTGCGGACACAGGTTTTTCATTTGCTGTATTGGAGTGAAGGGGGATGCACCTTTTTTGAGCAAGAGTGGTATGTTCGAAAGGCATTTCCTGAGGCGTCCTACACGTCCTACGGGTCGTGTTCCCTGTGCTGGGGTTTGCCACCTCTGTTTGGCAGGGAAGGAAAGTGCACCAAACCAGTGTGATTGGCCCTTTGAAGAATTTGGTGCCATCAATCCATTGTGGCGTGAAACAATGGGAGTGGAAAGTCCATACTCCACACCATCCCCACTGCTTCAAATACCATACGAAACAACTGGTACAAATGAGGGACTGTGGAAATTTGATCTTTTTCACAATTTCCATAGTGGCATGGGCAAGTACTTTGCAAGCTCAGCAGTGTGTATCGTTTTGGAGATGATCGACAACACAATTGATGGGGCTTTTGCAACCATCACCGAAGACTTCAAGACGTTTTGTGTGCATCAAAAGGAGTGCCCATATCACAAGAAACTTTCTGCATCTCTTTTTGGCGTTCACGTTGGTTTTGGGGTTTGCCCTGAAGCTGCATGGAGTAAGGGAAGTTTCACTTATCTCGTTCTCAAGTGGCTGGGTGATTGGTGCCAACGGAATGTCATTGGAAAGACCCAGGATGACTTGTATCTGATGACGGTTACTGGTTTTTGTTTCAGAACTTTTTGAATATCAACTATCAGTTTTTTTTGGGGGATACTGTGTACAGTTTGATTTTTGCTGATTTCTAGGCATGGGTGCCCTTCTTGTTGTCTGACTTAGGCCAGAGCCACCTTTGCCATCAATGACGCCATTGGGGGACTTTACCGTGAAGGGCTTTTCATCAAAGCAGATGATGCCAGGGTGATTTCTCTGAAGGGTCTCCATTTTCTAAAGCTTTATGCTGAATTGGCAGCCATGTGCCATTCACGTGCCAAAAGGCGGTACCCATTCGTCCCAAAGGGACATTATTTGCACCATCAGTTTTTGGAACTTTATTTCCAATCTCAGCGGAGTGATTGGGCTCTGAACATGCTAACCTATGCTGTTCAGATGCAAGAAGATTACATAGGGCGTCCCAGTAGACTGGCCCGAAGGGTATCTTCTCGCACTACATCTTTGAGAGTCCTTCAACGTACATTCCTAGCAATAAGGAATGCGTTGGGCTACGAGGGGTAGGATCTGTGATGCCTTGACCTAAATCTAAAATTCCCATATCAATTAAGTCTATTTAAATCCCATTTAAGCCAACCAAATTTAGTTAAACATACCACTGCCCACCACCTGCGGGATTGAAGGTCAAGACACATGCATCCAAGTGGGGCATCAGGATGTTCAGCCGATCGTGGCCGCGAAAGATGGTGGAGGGATTGGTGATTGGGTTGGTTTGGATGGATAGGCCTACTGTGGTTGAACCATTTTTACCCATTTGATATTTATGGAATAATGGTCCCCAATATCATAAAGTCTGATTCCATGAACTTTTGAATGCATGGAAATCCCCAAGGATCAAAAACCGGGTTTTACATGTGATACCCTTGTTTTTGTAGGTCACAACATAAAACCTTCCTTTTTCATGGTTATGAAAGTTCTTGGTATGTAGATATGTGTATGGTATCTATAAATCAGCTATATGAATATGTGTGGATTATTATGGCCATATGTTAATATCATTATATCGCATCCATGGTGTTGATCAACTTTCCGCCGGCCTGACCTTGGTCGAGGCGGGAAAGGCCGCGGCTATGATGATTTCCAGGGCGGAAAAGGTGGTGCCTCGGAGTCCTCGGAGTGATGAGTCTGGCTGCCCCAAACTCCAAACTTCACGGTTTTGCCCGTGAAAAGTTGGGAGTTTTTACCATTTAACCAACATTCAACAAAACGACGTGGTGATTCAACGCAACAAAATGATCCAATATGGGTGTTCATAGCCGACTTGGTTTATAACATACACGAATGGATGGGTGTGTGGTGGTAGATATTTCATACATTTGCACATCCCCACCACGAAATAGCGGTTTCCTAAAAGGGGTACCCCACATGATTCCAAATGATCCATTTCAATAGGATTTTTCCATTACCATTCATTTTGGGATATCCCCATTTACGGGAAAACCCCTTAAATGGCTTTCTGCGCCGGTGCTTGGCGCACGTCCGAAGTTCTCCTCTAGGTGGTCACAGCAGTGTCTACGGCCCCATCGGCGGCAGCGGCAACTATCCCAACTACGGCGGCGGTGGCTGGGGAGGCGGTCAGCAAGAAATTGTTGGCTTTAGCTGTTGGGTTTACCCAGTTCCCAGTAGTGGCAACTCCATTTTGTTTAGTAGGATTAAGTTTCGGATTAAGTAGGTTTAGTCCAATTCTAGCTGGGGTTGAGTAGCAAGCTGCTTTCTTGGCCATAAAAAGGGAGCAAACTGCTGAACTTCCCCGACTTGGGGATCTTTCAACCGATGAGTTCTGGTGACCTTGGCCGGTGAAGCGGCGCTATCAATTTCCTACAGGACGGGGCCCCCAAGATAGCTAAGTTGCCTGAAAAAAGTTGCTGAATTCTATGGTTTATAGTAGATATAACTATAGGTAATGGGGTTTATAAACCAACTTATATAACTGGGGGGCACCATCCTGTAAGACTTCTCGTTTTGGCTTGGTTTGCGCTATGGAACATCTAGATTCTACATTCCAAACAACACGTTGGTCATCGGATCATAAGTTGTGGCAAAGAGCCCTTGAAGCTTCCATGCGGGGTACATTCAAATGCATTGGCTTATAGTTTGGGTAAAGAATGGGTGAACGATGGCTGAAATACACCCACATATTCATTCAATTTGTTTGGCCATAAGCACCATATATATAATTCAGTGTCTTGGATAAACATAGGTGCATCCACTGGACAACTGTATATTGCATAGATGACAGAATTATTGTACATAGATGTAATTAATAAGATATATATATATACATATATATATATACGTAGAGAAACATAGGTTAGATAAACATAGACTAATAGATTTTAGATTTGATTAGATTTAAAGTACTTTTGATTAGATTGCATGAAATTTAGGTTAAGTTAGTTTACAGGACGACATTCAGACCATTGTGGCCATGTTTTGAGGCGGCCCGAGCCAGCCCACGCGACGCAACACCAATCTGCTGCCCAACGACCTGTCGAAGGTGGAGTCGGCCATTTTGGAGTTGAACGACCAGGAGCTGCTGCTGGGTCCGACATTTCAGAGGTGGAATCAGTGGTGAATTTATGGGATATGTCTAGGAATTACTGAACATTTGAATGGATTTGTTTTTGGTGGATTAGCATATGTCTAGGATGGTTGAGGATTTTTATATAATGCTTGGTGGATTCATGGGATGTGGTTGTTGATTCTCTTTCAGGGACTCTCATGGAATTGAGCCGACAATTCGGTGCTTTAAGCATCAAGAATTGAACATTTAACAACAAAATGGCTCACAACCAAGAATTCTGGGAAGTGAACCATTCAAACACGGGTATAACTGTATGACCGTGTATAACCGTAGTTGGTTAATAGGACTATCATGGGATATTTTGTTGATTGAATAGCTTGGAAACCGATTGGATGGGGTATTGTTTGCGCTTGCAAAGGGAATTTCCATCATTGGCGGTGAAGTTCGGCGAGAGAGAGGCAGTTTTGGAAACTGCTTCTCACCCAGCAACCAGCAGAGGGCTAGATGCAACCCAGTGGAGTTTCTTGGGGAAATTCAAGTCCCAAGTAGGACTAGTCGTTGCCTTGAGCACCCCGTGATTGCTGGGGGCTTGAGAGCATCTCACTTGGCGAAATTTATGCGATGGGCCAATGGGTCAAAACTTATTGCCATTCGGTAAAATCAAGGCAATGGGAAATGTCTTTACAGGTGGAAGTTCAGCTAGCTGGGAAAATCATCTAAATGGTGGATTGTCCGGCACGCCATGTTTACCGGAAGGCTGAGTTATTCGCATAAATCCTCACTCTTTTGTTGTGAGCAGAAGGGGGTTCCTTGGATATCTTGGATTTCTGGTTGGTGGTTTCAAACATGGCTTTTATTTTCCATTTCATATATGGCTAATATGTGGGATGTAATCCTTCCCATTGACTTTCATATTTTTCAAGATGGTTAAAACCACCAACCAGATACACTATTTTCAGACAAACCCATATCCAGATACACTATTTTCAGACAAACCCATATGGTCATAGTAATCCTCAAAGGATGGAACAGTAAATCCCAGTAAAGTGGTGATACATCATACATCATACACCAGATTTGATTCACAGCCATAAATCCTGAAACCGCCATGAAACGGCCATGAAACCATTGCAGATCCCAGCAGCCTCCAACAGCCTGGCGTCCTGGAAAGTTGGAACCTGTCCATTGTAGCTTCGCAATTTCGCCGAACGACGAAGTCACTTTCCAATTCTTATAAAGATATCATGCAATTATATACAATTATTATATGTCCATATAGTTTCCTATGTTTGTCACAGACTAGTTCATACTATTGATAGATATCACCGGTATAAACCCTGGTTGGTGGTTTGGAACCATGGAATTTTATGTTTCCATTCAGTTGGGAATCTCATCATCCCAACAGAGTCATATTTTTCAGAGGGTTAGCTCAACCACCAACCAGATATCATCCATATGTTTCATAGTTAAAACCCCATAAAACCCCTATATTTGATGGTTGATGGTTAAATTATGTTAAATTCCATTGAAATCATGTTTTTTTTCCGCCCAGTTTACGAACTCAGATGACTTCCGAAGGACCTTTGGTCGGGGCAAGAGATCAACTGTGCCACGTTGTTGAGCCTTCGCTGGGGGCTCAACGGTGGTCGCTTTTGGTGAAGGCTCGGCTACCCTAAGTATAGTGGTGCCATCCACTCATATTATGGAATGGTGGTTGGATTTACAACACCATGAATTCTAGTTCGATATAGGTGTTGTAAATCATAGTTCTTGAAGTTATAACCAACAGAGTCTATTTTGAAGGGTTCTACCTTGCAGCAACAAGGGTGGGATTTCATTGAAGTCGTCACCATTGAAAGCTGACAGTACTGCCCATCAGCCATCTGATTGAGCAGGTGATCCTTCGAGCAGGGGTGATAACCCAGTGGTTAATTATTCATCATCGTTACACCCATCTCCTCAAAATTAAATACACCCCAAGAAACACTCTGGCTTTGTATTGGGTCTCTTTTCACTTTCACGGTCAACACAGGAAGGTCCCCGCAGTTACAAGTTAGTTTACGTTGTCCCATCTAACTATATAGTTTGATATATCTACCATAATCCAATATAACCTACACATGTCAACCAACTTAGCTCAGGGGGGCCTTCATGGATGGGGCAGCCTTGAGGTTGTATTGGTGAGGAAGACGCCATGGAGTTCCTCCAGAATCTTCAGGGAAAGGCAGCGGCGGGGTGGCCGGGGCGGATTTGGAGCAAGGAGCCGAAGTTGGGGTTTAGTGACCCAATGATAAGGTGTGAAGCAAGAACACATTGGGATTTAAAAGACCATGAGGTCACGAAAAGTTGGGTCATTAGTCCATAGCAAGGACAAACACACCGAAGCGGCAACCGAAGTTGGGGGCTGTGCACCTCCTTAGGAGGCTGTTGATTTGCTCGCCGCGGTCTCTTGACATGAGTGTTTCCATGTTTTTAGCATAACAGTTTAACAGGTAGTGAATGATCAAAAAAGCGGTATGAATCAGCTCGAAACGGGGAGTTCAACCAACAACTGTCACTGGGTTGATTTTTGAGACCCTCGGGGCCGCCGAAATTGAACGGAACCTTGGGCTCGAAGATAAATCTGGGGAAACGATCCTGACTTCACGATCTAACCGTAGATGATGGTCTGGCTTGCTTGTTCTGACTATTAAAACATAATATTTTGAAATTTGCTCATTTAATTTTGAAATAATCATTTGCATTGGATAAAATCAAGCATGCTCCAAACTGCATTTATCGGGCTTCTCTGCTACCTGTTGTCCTCATCAACTAAATAGGCCAACTAAAAGCCAAGGAAGATAGCCTCCACATGTCCCAATTGAAGGTATAAACACCGCACAGAGATACACGCACCATACGCACCCGCACTTGGGAATGTAGTTCCAGTGAACTAAGCGGATATACTTCACCATAGTTGTAGGCATAGATGTCCTTTTCCCATTGGTTGGTTGATGAAAATAGAGGGGTTTCTTCAGAAACCCCTTTAACAACAGGTTTGTTTGATGACAGATGGGATCAACCAGCTCCCGGCTCTATTTTTACCAAAAGGACATGATTGGTTGTAGGGGTTTTATACCCTGAAAAAAAGGGCTTCAAATCCCATGGTCCCATAAGAAATGACTTTCCCATACGAACTGTGGAGTCATGGTCAATCCATAGGCGCCGTAAATAGGGACTTTATTAAATTTATACGGTTGTGTTGTTAATGCGGTTAATGTAGCAATCGTACAGAATCTCGAATGATTACCCTCTGGTAATTTGTTACATCGCGAACTGGAAAATCACATTTTTTAATAGGCAAATCAACGAACTTTCTATGGGCCATGGCTTCCATAGCTATGTTTGTTTACCAGAGGATAATGATGATTAGATGACCATAAACCATATTATTTTATATACATATACTGCATATGTTGACCGTGGCACACATGTTTCAGGACCGGTTTTTGATTCTTGGCATGGTGAACTAGAATCCATGGGCACGTTTTGATCACTCGTTTGTGAATTTGACCTAGCTGATAGAGAATTATGACTTCCAGAAGGTATGTAAAGAAATGAGTCGGGTTCTGTTGTGTCTTTTCCTTGCTGGGTTCTGGCAAATCATGCACATCAGAAGATTTCACCTCTAGTCGCATGAATTTCAAGTGCACTCGAACGGCAGGGCAGGAGCAAAGGGAGCAAAGGCATTGGCAATCTGAACAACTACATCCAGGTGGCATCGGACTGAGGGGGGTTCTTCTGCCATCGTAGTCTGCAGTTCATCGACGTTCATCGTGCAATATGGTGCATCACCAGTACCCTCTGCTAAACTAACATATCTATTGAAAATTGCCATAGAAATAGTGGATTTGCCCATTATATGAAAATAGTGATTTTCCAGTTCGCTATGTTAGTTGACCAGAGGGTATGTATCTGTGGTTGGATGATGTTTTGTACAATCCCTCCCCCTAATATGAAACACCCCCCCTTGATACCATGGTTTAGGGACAAAAACACACACCATGTGGGGCCATTTGGGGATGGTCTTTGTGTCGATGTGGGGGTTGGGATTCAAATCACCAGAGGTTTGTAGATACAGTGTCTATTTGTTGCGTATATCCTCAATGGGAATTCCAGGATCCTAAATTGGAGGTACTGTACCATATAAGGCCATATTTTGTGGGGATATTCCCTTACATAGGCCTTATATATGGTAGGTACCTCCAATTTAGGATCAGTATATCCCATGCTTTCCCTGGTTAGCCTAGCCCTTGGCACCAGATCTCACGGAAGGACAAGTCGTGGCTCCCCAGTGAAATGTTTCTTGGTTCATAAAGCAATTTAACTGCTTTGATTACCCCCCTAATCAACAGTCAACCAAGTGATAGGATTTATAATGAGTCAACTTAGCTATCGTTTCGGGACTCGCCTTGTATATGTAAGGATGGGGTTTTGGTATCTCGAACTAGATGGGCTTACAAGCAACCAGACGATAGCTGGAAGGGGTGGTTCAATGACCTCAACCTGTCAGGTGACTGGCTGGATCTGAATGACTGGTCGATACATGTGAAGTGGGTTGCAGTTTCAGGTGTCTTTTGTCCACTGACTTGTTTCATTCAATTTGATAACGTTATACCGTTTTTCAAATTACTGTGCCATACTTTGTTTTTTTTCAGCTTTTAAGGGTGTTCCATGTTAGTTCGCAGGGGAAATTGCTTTATAGTTATAGTTTGTATCTTGTATTGGCTTAAGTTGTGAAATCACTTGCTATGTTTGACTGAATGATTTACACACATAACTTACAATAACTTTATTTTGGTAGAAGGTACCCTTTGGTAAACCAACATAGCTATGGAAAATGACCTTTAAAAAATGAGGATTTTCCACAGAAAAAAAAACTGTCAACTCTAGGGACCCTCCTGGCGCCAGGCCGCCGTTGCGAAGATCGTCAAGGAGGGTGGCAACTCCAATGGTGGCGATCGTTTCTCCAAAGGTTCGGGGAAGAACTACACGGGAAATCAGAGCAAACAGAAGGCGAAATCGCGGGGAATCAGCCGGGGAATTTGCCGAGGAAATTTACCTGATTAGCCTCTGGTTATGACTAACATAGCCATTGGGAAATGGCCTATTTATAGATGGTTTACCTATTAAAAATGGAGATTTTCCATGGCTATGTTAAATAACCAGATGGTATAGTTGGTATATCATATTATATCATGATTTCTCTTGGTTCAACAGTTACTGTATGTAATGTTATATAAACCTCCATGACTGTTAAAACCTTTTCTGCTTGGTGGTTTGGAACTTTTTTTTATTTTCCATGTATTGGGAAGAATCATCATCCCAACTGACGAACTCATATTTTTCAGAAGGGTTGTTCAACCACCAACCAGATATCATATATGATCTCACATTTCCATAGACTTCCCTATAAATAGTGGGATGAACCACCAACTGGTGCAGGATTTCTTCCCTAAATGAATGGTGTTTTCCACTGGTGAATCCTCCGCTGGTCATCCCAACTGATGATTTTCGCCCAGGCTGAGGAGTTGGGTCTGTCGCTGCACGAGGCAACCTATGAGATCTTGGCGCGGATGTCTTTGAGGCGGGCAGACTGCCGTGATGCATCACCGTATCTGGAACATGGAACATGCATGCATTTCACATTTGTTTCATTTTTCAACTGATATATAATCATGGCAGGTTCACAGCCATTCCCACCAAGACTTTGTTCGTTTTTGTAAGGATGATGGTAATTTAGTTGGACATCTACTCAAAGTGAAACTCTTAGCAGCTGGGAACCAGCAGTTTGTGACTCATCATCCCACAATTGCTTGTTGTTTTAATAATGTTTACAGTAAACTATCAATATATAATAATAAATATATATATATATATACAGTATATATATATATGTGTGTGTGTATACATCCATCCATCCATCCATCCATCCATGCATCCATGCATCCATGCATCCATGCATCCATGCATCCATGCATCCATGCATCCATCCATGCATCCATGCATCCATGCATCCATGCATCCATGCATCCATGCATCCATGCATCCATGCATACACGCATACACGCATACACGCATACACCCATACACCCATACACACATACACGCACACACACATACACGCATACACGCATACACGCATACACGCATACATGCATACAGCATGCATACAGTATGCATACACGCATACATGCATACAGCATGCATACAGTATGCATACATGCATACATGCATACACACATACACGCATACACGCATACACGCATACACGCATACACGCATACACGCATACATGCATACATGCATGCATGCATGCATGCAAAAAAAACATACATATACATAC